TCTAAGATAAATTAAACATTTCAGTTTGTATTTTAGTAAAAGGGGACATTTTGGACAAAGCTGGGAGGGGCCCATCCAGTAACTAAAAAAAGACAATATACCATCTTATACCATTGATCATTGATTAGGGGGAAGGGGAGTAGTACAGAAATACAAGAGTTTGAAACACAGGAACAGATAGGTATGTGGGTAGGCGGGGACAGTAGAGCAGGGGAGTGCAATTACTGACTATACCAGTTTTTATCTTGGGAAGAAGAATAGGGGCGTAACTACTCTGGCTCTGGAGGATGAATAGGGGGTTTGGTAATCAGATGCCAGGGAGGGAGGGGATGTCCAAAGCAGTTGTAATTAAGGCCTTAGTTCTGACCACCATATGGCTACATTGTTTCTCATATGACACAGTTTAACTCACCAAGGCAGTTTTTCAACAATCAGTTTCCAACAGTCAATGTATAGAAACTGATCATAGAATTCCAGCCTACTAGTTACAGCCACATGTACACCCTGCACTAAATTTAAGTGAAGACTGCTACATGGAGGCCATGCGGCCACCAGGACAGGCTACTCCCTACTTTTTTTTATTTTTTTAAACATACAAGACAAAGGACCAACAGCCTTGTGAATCAGAAGATTATTTCAACAGAACAAAAATGGGGAAATAGGTCGCGCTAAAGGGACAGGGAGGTAAAATAAATAGAATAAATAAATATGATAAAAAAGTCCCAAATAATAGATAAACCTGTGTTGTTCTAGGAGAGTATAAAGTCCAAAAGGGTGTCTGAATCTTCTTATGTTGAGGATGTCTTGGTTCGCTTGTCAATATGTAGATACATAAAAGAAATAAAAAAGAACTCCAATAGTGTAGGGTGTCGACAAAATTTCCAGATGTGAGTCTGTAAGTAGATAAATAACTCACCTTGGCATGAGCAAAAAAACTTGCTCAAGTATTCTTAGCGTTCAGTGGCGTCAATCCCCACTGGTCGGATATAGGTGATGAGGTCCTGAATAATTCCTCGATATGTAAAGAGATGGGAGACGTATATAGTGCTCACTGAATTATATTAAAAACAAATAAAATGGTAGAATACTCACATGTATATGAGCAGGAACTACTGCTCAGTATGATGGCGCAGGTGGTACAATCCCCACCTTAGGATTCTTGGAAAGTAACGTACTTCAATCCAAATCGGTGACCAGGTAATTCAAATTAAAAAGGAAGGAATTAAAAATATATATAGGCAAAAATAAAAGCCAGTATTCCTTTATTAAAATATAATATATCAGTATATAAAACAAACAAATAATAGCCAAAACGCGTTTCACCACACAGGGCTTTATCAAATGGCATTAAAAAGAGAGAAAAACCTGGTACAATAACTACTTTTATAAACTAAAAGATACAGATAAGCATTTGAATTTTGGCGCCAAAATTACGTCACTCATAGAATATGCATAGTTTAAAACAATTTTAAAAGTAAAGATTTAAGATATAGCAGCATTTAATAATGCAATTTAAAGATATTTCTAAGTTTAAAATAATAAAACGAGCATTATTAACATTGTAGTACACATGTAAATATGATGTCATTATGGAGCATGTGGTCGCGACCTATATATGCTCAAAAGTTAAAATTAAGGATGTAAAGGCATAATAGGAAGGAATGTTAAGATGTCTCTGTAATTTAAATAGTAAAACGAGCGTTTATTTCGATAGTAAATAAAAAAACACGTGATCGGAACTAAGCATTGTGGGAAATGTATGCTGAAGCCGAGAGATCGGCACAGAAATATTCCGCCCGTCTCTCGGCTTCAAACACAACAAATGGAGGGCATATAAGGGCTAGGGAACTAGCCCTATAAAAACAGCATAGGGAAACCTAACAAGGGGAGGGAGGGGAGGAGAAGAAAAAAAGGGGAAAAAGGCAAAAAGAGAGCTGCTGCAGGAAACATCCTGCAATATGTATAACAATAAGCAAAGTACAAATGGAAAAATATGTATATAAAAATGTAAAATATGTATGTAAAAATAAGCAAAGTAAAATCCAAAATGAAAAATTAATACATAAAAAAAAATTAATTAATATAATAAAATAAGAAAGAATGAAAAAAAAATAAAAATAAAAAAGAAGAAGGGGAAAAAACATGTTATTGTGAAAAATCTTTGAATTTTATAAAAAATTAAAAAGGTCGAATTCTACATTTAGTCCTTGGGGTGATAGGGTTTTGAAAAACCCAATTCATCTCTCTTTTTCCCAAAATATTTTTCATATCTCCTCCTCTCCATGGCATGGCAACTTTTTCTATCCCAGTAACTTTAAGAACACTGGGGTCTTTGTTATGAAATAAAAAATGCTTAGACACTGAATGGTTGTCGTATCCTTTTTTGATGTTGCGACAATGTTCTGCCAATCTAATCTTTAAACACCTTGTTGTCATGCCAACATATTGAAAACCACATGGACATTCTAGTAGGTAAATAACATTTTTAGTGTTACATCCTATAAAGTCTTTAATCGGGTACATAGTTTTGGTAATGGTGGAAGAGAAATGGGTCGTTTTAGTATTGGTATTTGGATTTGTGGATTTACATACAATACATTTGTTACATTTAAAAAAACCTTTAGGTTTTGACAGAAAATTCTCCTTTGATGAGGTAATTTTAGTATAATTTTTTGTTAGAATTTTCTTAAAATTTGGGGCCCCTCTAAAAATCACATTTGGTTTATCAGGAATACAGTCTTTTAAAAGATCGTCCTGTTTAAGAATGTGCCAGTGTTTATTAATGATTTTTTTTATATCTTTATTTTTCTTATTAAAGTCTAAAATGATAGGCAATTTTGGGGGGTCTTACTTTTTAGCTTTATATACTAAAAGGTCTTTTCTTTCTTTTGCAGTAACTTCTTTTAATGCTGCATTCAATTTTTCTGGTTCATAGTTTTTTTCTAAGAACTTATTATTCAATGAGGTAGATTGGATTTTAAAATCATTTGATAGACAACAGTTGCGATGAAGACGAAGAAATTGACTTTTTGGAATCCCATCTAGCCAGGGTTTATAATGACAACTTGTATGATCTATGATAGTATTGGTACAAACTTCTTTAAAGAAGGTCTTAGTTTGAATATTACCTTCTTGAATAAAAATGTTAAGATCCAAAAAATCAATAGATACCTTACTATAATTTGAAGTTAAAATTATATCTTTATCATTGTTGTTTAAAAATTCTAAAAACAACTTAAGAGAGGTCTCTGAACCTTGCCAGATATGGCAGAACATTGTTGCAACATCAAAAAAGGATACGACAACCATTCAGTGTCTAAGCATTTTTTATTTCACAATAAAGACCCCAGTGTTCTTAAAGTTACTGGGATAGAAAAAGTTGCCATGCCATGGAGAGAAGGAGATATGAAAAATATTTTGGGAAAAAGAGAGATGAATTGGGTTTTTCAACTCAAAACCCTATCACCCCAAGGACTAAATGTAGAATTCGACCTTTTTAATTTTTTATAAAATTCAAAGATTTTTCACAATAACATGTTTTTTCCCCTTCTTCTTTTTTATTTTTATTTTTTTTTCATTCTTTCTTATTTTATTATATTAATTAATTTTTTTTTATGTATTAATTTTTCATTTTGGATTTTACTTTGCTTATTTTTACATACATATTTTAAATTTTTATATACATATTTTTCCATTTGTACTTTGCTTATTGTTATACATATTGCAGGATGTTTCCTGCAGCAGCTCTCTTTTTGCCTTTTGAGCATATATAGGTCGCGACCACATGCTCCATAATGACATCATATTTACATGTGTACTACAATGTTAATAATGCTCGTTTTATTATTTTAAACTTAGAAATATCTTTAAATTGCATTATTAAATGCTGCTATATCTTAAATCTTTACTTTTAAAATTGTTTTAAACTATGCATATTCTATGAGTGACGTAATTTTGGCGCCAAAATTCAAATGCTTATCTGTATCTTTTAGTTTATAAAAGTAGTTATTGTACCAGGTTTTTCTCTCTTTTTAATGCCATTTGATAAAGCCCTGTGTGGTGAAACGCGTTTTGGCTATTATTTGTTTGTTTTATATACTGATATATTATATTTTAATAAAGGAATACTGGCTTTTATTTTTGCCTATATATATTTTTAATTCCTTCCTTTTTAATTTGAATTACCTGGTCACCGATTTGGATTGAAGTACGTTACTTTCCAAGAATCCTAAGGTGGGGATTGTACCACCTGCGCCATCATACTGAGCAGTAGTTCCTGCTCATATACATGTGAGTATTCTACCATTTTATTTGTTTTTAATATAATTCAGTGAGCACTATATACGTCTCCCATCTCTTTACATATCGAGGAATTATTCAGGACCTCATCACCTATATCCGACCAGTGGGGGATTGACGCCACTGAACGCTAAGAATACTTGAGCAAGTTTTTTTGCTCATGCCAAGGTGAGTTCTTTATCTACTTACAGACTCACATCTGGAAATTTTGTCGACACCCTACACTATTGGAGTTCTTTTTTATTTCTTTTATGTATCTACATATTGACAAGCGAACCAAGACATCCTCAACATAAGAAGATTCAGACACCCTTTTGGACTTTATACTCTCCTAGAACAACACAGGTTTATCTATTATTTGGGACTTTTTTATCATATTTATTTATTCTATTTATTTTACCTCCCTGTCCCTTTAGCGCGACCTATTTCCCCATTTTTGTCTATCCTATTCCATGTGAGGCTTGTTGAGGGACCTCATTTTTATAGGTTGCTGCTTTTACACTTTATTTTAGTTTCTTTTAGATCATTTAGCGCTGAACCATTATCTTTTTGTCCTATTTCAACAGAACGTCTGATTCAAAAAGCTGTACAAATATACACACAGTTTCAACAGTCACACCAATCTCCTTATCACCAGCACCACATTGCACAGTCACTAGACCCAAACACACACATGCACGGACACACAGGATCTTCACATGCTCAACAATATCACGACGTCGCAAACACGAAATTAAATCAAAAACCCTCCAAAGACTATACACTTATCAATGTAACTATTATTCAAACCATACAACTATCCACGCTATTAATTCATATAAACTAACCGATCACATAACATTTCAACAATTTCATCTCTACAATTATCCATACTATAAATCAACTTTGACTAACCAACTATATCACATTCTAGTAACCTCATCTTTACAGTCAGTGGTTATGGTACAGTTAGTAAGTGGTTATAATACAGTTTTAAAGTCACAGATCAGTTAGTAACAGTTATGGTATTATACATATAACATAAAACAGCAATTGTTAGTAATTTTTACACAATGTCAGTGGTTATGGTACATGTGACAGAACCATCTGTCTGCTTGGATTTTTACCACGTTCGTCTGTTTGTCCCCCGTTCGTATGAATGGCTGGTTTCTATAGCCCAGCCATTCGAATGACTCTTTTTCCCGAACAAACCTGCCGAACGAACGGCCACCCAAGTGAGGAGTGTGCTGCTGGTTAACGAAGTGATCCCAATTAGAACGTTGTGGTTAACCGCAGACACTTCTCAATTAAACCGAATTCAGGGTGGTCGTCGTTCGTATGTCGACCACGAGGCAGCGGCCATTTTAAATCACACGAACGCCCAGCGGTGTTTGGCTCTAATTCTATGGAACTGAAAACGGACACTTTTTCTGCCGAACACCGCTGAAACAAGGGAACGCCTGGCTGCCTCCACGAAAGCATGCGAACACCGGCCGTTCGGGAGATTGAGAGCATACGAAAAGACTTAACCCAGATAGCCCTCCCATGGAGTCATTCGTATACCGAAAGACTGTAAGAACTTTGACTCCATGGCGATTGAACTATGTGTGTGGGATCTGAGCGCTATTCGCTAATAATATGCACTCAGATCCAGGCTATCTGGGGACATGTAATACGAATGGGAAATGTTCAGTTTTCATGTAGTTATGTATTTTTATGTCTTTTATTATTTTATGTCTAAGATGGCGACTGTCCTTGTCCTGGAGTTAATTGAGTTACTTGGTAATTAACTCCAGGGCAGAGGGGAGGGAATCATAATGCACTGTGGGTAAAATATGTGACTGTGTGTCTGAAATGTCCCTCTATCTGTCTGTAGTTTAAGTCTCCCATTTGGTCCCCTAGGGGAGTGTCCACCAGGTGGGAGACCTGCATAAATACGGGCAGGTAGCCCACAGTAAAACCAGATTCTGTTTGACCCTCAATGCGGAGCTTCTGTCTCGTTATTGGGGGGATTTCTTCTTCACGTTTAGAGACTGCTGGATGGAACGAAAGCCGCTTGGGGAATATTGCTGTTCGACGGTTACCAGCAGTTCGTGTATTGCCGTTCGGGAGTTTGGAGCCGTTCACGGAGCTCGGTCGGGAGATTGCCGCTTCCCCTGCATTTGGTTCGTGTGTTACAGATTAAGCGAACGGAGACTGTACTGCAGCCGGGGAAGGTATACTAAACGGCGGTTTGGCTTAAAGACACTGGAGGTGTCTTAACAATTGGTGGCAAGCGACGGGATGAATCCTACAGCACTGGAGGTCAGCTACAAGACATGCAGTACGAGGAATTAAGGCGTGCTACACTTAAGGACATATTGGAACGCCGAGGAAGGTCAGCAAGCAATTTAAAGAAACGGGAGATTATTGCTTTGCTAATGGAGATGGATGCAGCAACGGGAATGGAAAGAGTCAACGTGCCCAGTACCTTGGATTTAACACCCGAGGAAATACAATTTAACCGGGCAGTGCAAATAAGGCTGGCACATTTTGGCCCCAACCCCTCAGCTGACATTGTGGTGCGTGTGCAGGCCGCAGTTGCAGCACAGCAGGCGCTCCGGGAAAGAGGAGCTGCAGCAGCAGAGGTACCGTACGATAATAATGTGGTTGCTAGAAAGAAGGTACCTTTTGCTGCATTTAAAAATTTTGTGGAAACTGAGGGAGAGATTGATGGGTTTCTAGCAGACTTTGAGAGGCAGTGTGCGCTACATCAGGTACCTGCAGATGAATGGGTCACCATCCTCTCTGGGAAATTATCTGGCCGGGCTAGTGAGGCGTTTCGGGCCATCCCAGAGGAGGAGATCACCAGCTACCGGGCTGTGAAAGAGGCGCTCCTAGCCAGGTATGCGGTGACCCCAGAGGCGTACAGGCGGAGGTTTAGAGAAACCAACAAGCTGGTTGGGGACTCTTATGTGGAATGGGCCTGCAGAGTCCATCGTACCGCAGCCCACTGGATGGCTGGATGCCAAGTGGTAACTGGGGAGGAGGTATTACAAGTGTTCCTGCTGGAGCATTGTTTTGATAGACTACCTGCTGGGGTCCGGGAGTGGGTCAGAGATAGAAAACCCTCTACCCTACCCAAGGCTGCTCGTCTGGCAGACGAATACACGGATGCCCGCAAGTTGGATGGTACAGCTGCCAAAGCCCCTGCCAGACTGGAGTATCGACCAGCAGTAATACCCGCTCCTTCAGTCTACCAACCCCCAGTACACCGTAACCCAGCCGCACCGCCAGCTAACAATTTTGTACAGCCCGCACGATTTAATGCCCGTGAATATTCCCAACCCATCCGGTGCTTTGGGTGCAAGCAGTTGGGGCACAAGCGTCCTGAGTGCCCACTGAACAGTGCCAACCAGGCTCAGTCCTGGAGGAGACCAGTCAATGGGAACCAGTGCCCACCTCAGCCTGCTGCTCACTGCATAGAGCAGGAGGAATTCTGGGGCATCCTACACGAGGCAGACCCAGTGCAAGCAGCTCACCAGGATAATCGCCAGCAACATCGGCAAACTGTGAAGATGAATGGCAGAGTGGTAAATGGGCTGAGAGACACAGGAGCCACGATGACACTACTCCAAAAGAACTTGGTCTCAGAGCATCAACACACTGGGGACACTGTGGCAGTAAGGGTAGCAGGGGGTGCTGTGTTTCGCTTACCTGTTGCCCGGGTACACTTGGATTGGGGAGTGGGCGCTAGACATGTGGATGTGGGGGTGATGAAGGACTTGCCCGCAGATGTTCTTCTGGGAAACGATTTGGCCCCTTTGGTTTCAGCCTATGCTCTGATGGGCCCTGCAGATGTGAACCCAGTGACCACCCGTGCCCAGACCCGTGCTGCCGGAACCAGCCCACTTGCTGATGAGACCCAGGTAAGATCTCCTTCCCCGACTGGTACCCCAGATCAGGCCCCCTTAAGCTGGGATTCCCCAGAGGAGTTTGGGAGGGAAACCCGGGCAGATCCGACCCTCCAAAAGTACAAAGACAGGGCAGATGCTGGAGAGGAAGGAATAGATGGGGAACGGTATGAGTGGGTGGGGGACAGGTTATATAGGATCCCTAAACCTTCCCAGAAGAGTGTTGCCTCTCCGCCGAATCGCCAGTTAGTGGTACCTGCAAAGTACCGGCAGGAGATTCTGCGGATAGGGCATGATGTTCCATTAGCTGGACATCTAGGGTCCCGCCGCACAGCCTATAGGATCTCACAGAATTTCTTTTGGCCAAACTTCAACCAGGCTGTGCGGATGTATTGCAGCACGTGTGACACATGTCAACGGGTAGGAAAGCGGGGGGACCACCCTAAGGCTAGGCTATTATCGATGCCTATTATAGGGGAGCCCTTTGCCCGCATAGCCGTTGACATCGTGGGTCCACTTGCCAGGGCTAGTCCATCAGGTAAGAAATACGTTCTTACCGTGGTGGACTATGCCACCCGCTATCCAGAGGCAGTAGCGCTGTCTAACATAGAGGCAGAGATGGTTGCTGATGCCCTGGTTAGAATTTTTACTAGGGTCGGGTTCCCTAAGGAGATTCTCTCCGACCAGGGAACCCAATTCACCGCTGTGCTCACCCAGCAGCTGTGGAAGGTGTGTGGCATTAAGCCATTACTTAGTTCACCCTACCACCCACAGACTAACGGTCTCTGCGAGCGCTTTAACGGTACCCTCAAACAGATGCTGAGGACCTTTACAGACGCTTGCAGAGACTGGGAGAGATTCCTGCCTCATCTATTATTTTCTTATAGAGAGGTGCCCCAGGAATCTACTGGGTTCTCCGCCTTTGAGCTGCTGTATGGGAGAAGGGTCCGCGGACCCCTAGATCTCATTAGAGGCCACTGGGAGGGGGAGACGGAGCAAGAGGGGACCCCCATTGTACCATATGTTCTGGAACTCCGGGACCGCATGGAGAAACTGTCCCTGATGGTAAGGGAGAATCTCCAGGCGGCCCAGGGGAGACAGAAGAGATGGTACGATCAGGGTGCCCGACAGCGGGTCTTCCAGGTTGGGCAAAAAGTATTGGTGCTCAAACCCATGAAGGCCAACAAGATGAAGGCATCTTGGCAGGGCCCGTACAAGGTAGTGGCGCAGATCTGCGACACTACTTACTTGATAGCCAGCTGTGCAGATGAGAGGATCCAGCGGTCCTTTCATGTGAACATGCTGAAAGAGTACCAGGAGAGACCTGAGAATATTGCAGCAGTATGTGCCCCAGCTGCAGATGATTCTGAGAATTTACCCCTTCCAGATCTATTAGAAAGGGATCCCCAGACTGACCTTACTACCTTGGTACAGCTAGGGGACCGGTTGAACCCCACAGAAAGGGTACAGGCGCAGCAGTTGTTATGGGAGAAGCAGGCGACGTTCTCCCAGGAACCAGGTTATACCACCCTAGCTGTGCATAAGGTAGAGACCCCTGGACAGACCCCGTTACGACAGCCCCCCTACCGTATCCCTGAAGCAGTCCGTGAAGGAATGCGGAAGGAGATACAGGAGATGACCCAGCTTGGAGTTATCGAGCACTCCGACAGCCCTTGGGCCTCGCCTGTAGTCCTGGTGCCCAAGAAAGATGGTTCTGTGTGGACTACAGGCGACTCAACGAGCGGACCACCACTGACGCCTACCCAATGCCCCGGGTAGACGAATTACTGGATCGTATTGCCAGGGGGCGATATCTGACCACCATAGACCTGTGTAAGGGCTACTGGCAGATCCCCCTGGCCGAGGATGCTATCCCCAAGTCGGCATTTGTCACCCCATTTGGCCTGTACCAATTCAAGGTCATGCCTTTTGGGATGAAAAATGCACCGGCTACCTTCCAACGGATGGTGGATAGACTCCAGGATGGCTTCCAAGAATTTGCCTGTGCATACTTGGACGACATTGCGATCTACAGTGGGTCCTGGGAGGAACACCTGGTTCATGTAGGGGTGGTACTGGATAAGAT